CCCCCCCACCTCAGTTGTAGCGTGGCCGAGCTCTGTATGGTCCGCGGGTACAGGGAGCTTTTGTTACTGAGTGTGCACCTCCTGTTAGTCCGGCCGGGTACAGGAGACAGATGCGGACCATACAGAGCTCGGCCATGCTACAGAGAGGGAGTGACAGGAGGGAGCGCTGAGCGCTTCCCTCCTGTCAGCCCCTCTCCTCAGCCTGCGCCCGGGCGGGCAAAGCTGCAGCCGCCTGAGGCTCTCTGCAGAGCGCTCGGGTGGCTGCAGCATGGGGGGGGCGGCACCCCCTCCCAAGGCACCCCCCCACCCTGCTGGCACCCGGGGCGGACCGCCCACCCCGCCCCCTCCTTAGTACGCCACTGACTGTACATAACCTTCTTTGTGTAATTGTACCTAGCATTCTTCTGTGTAACTGTAGATAGCAATCTTCTGTGTAACTGTACATAACATTCTACCCATCTCAAATCTAACGTGCCCTACCTCTGCAACCTCCCTCTACAACTCAACTCTCTCCTCTCAACTCAACATCATGGCACCTCTCGCAATTAAACACAGCAAGCGCCCGCAATTACAACCATGGCACACCAAGCTCACCCGTTACCTCCAAAAATGTTCTAGAACTGCTGAACGCTGCTGGAGAAAGTCTCACTTTGCATCTGACTTCCTCCACTATAAATTTATGCTACGCTCCTACAGCCTGGCTCTCTCTGCTGCAAGTATACTACTTTAACACCCTCATAAGTACACTGTCCCATCAACCCAAACACCTATTTCACACTTTTGATGCTCTTCTTCGCCCTTTTAGTCCTTCTACCACCTTGTCCGCCACAAACTTTGCATCTCACTTCACTGAGAAGATCTCTACAATCAGAGAAGAGATCGCCTACCAATACATCACCCAACCCCACTTCCTCCACCATTCTACACTCATTCGCACCTGCTACAGCAGAAGAGGTTCGTGCTCTGCTCCGGTCCTCCCGCTGCACCACCTGTTCCCTCGATCCTATTCCCTCGCATCTCATCCGCACTTTGTCTCCCTCTCTTGCTCTTCCTCTCACTAAAATCTTCAATCTCTCCTTTTCCTCTGGCACATTTCCCTCTCCCTTCAAACATGCAACTGTAACCCCAATTCTGAAAAAGCCCAGCCTTGACCCCAACTCCCCATCCAACTACCGCCCTATCGCGCTATTGCCATTTGCCTCCAAGATCCTTGAGAGAGTTGTGTACATCAGACTGACTGACTTTCTCAAATCCAACTCTCTGCTTGACCCCTTCAGTCTGGATTCCGCGCTGGTCATTCTGTCGAAACGGCTGTGACCAAAGTATCCAACGATTTAATCGCTGCTAAATCTTGCGGCCACTACTCTATCCTAATTCTCCTTGATCTTTCTGCTGCCTTTGACACTGTTGATCATCAACAGCTTCTTTGCATTCTCCGTAATTTTGGTCTACGGGATACTGCTCTCTCCTGGTGCTCCTCCTACCTCTCCCAGTGCTCTTTCAGTGTTTCTTTCTCTGACTCTGTCTCTTACCCCCAGCCACTCTCTGTCGGCATCCCCCAAGGTTCTGTCCTTGGTCTCCTACTGTTCTCTATCTATACTGCCTCCCTTGGGAAACTCATCAGCTCCTTTGGCTTCCGTTATCATTTCTATGCAGATGACACGCAAATCTACCTGTCCTCTCCTGATCTCTCTCCACCCATCTTGACTCGTGTCTCTGACTGCCTCTCTTCGATCTCCAACTGGATGGCTGCTCACTTCCTTAAACTCAACCTGTCCAAAACAGAACTTCTGGTCTTTCCTACCTCAAGTGTTACTACTACTGTGTCACCTCTACCTCACAGGCTTTCTGCCTGGGTGTTCTTTTTGACTCCAACCTCTCCTTTACCCCTCATATCCAATCAATCACCAAATCCTGTCGCTTCCATCTCAAAAACATAGTGCGCATTTGCCCCTATTTAACACCAGATGCGGCTAAGGTGCTGGTCCATGCTCTTGTTCTCTCTCCCCTTGACTTCTGCAATACCCTTCTCAGTGATCTTACAATTATAGATTGCACCGCTGCAATCTATAATTAATGCAGCGGCGAGGCTCATTTTCCTGTCCGCTCGCACCTCCCACGCCTCCCCGCTCTGTCAGTCCCTGCACTGGCCTCCAGTTAAATATAGGGCTTATGTAGGGCTTACAAGTCCCTACATAATGCTGTTCCAACCTACCTATCCTCCCTAATACACAAGTATGTCCCGTCGAGGCCCCTACGCTCTGCCAAAGACCTACTCCCACCTCTTATGCTCGCCTCCAAGATTTCTTCAGGGCTGCACCTCTTCTGTGGAACGCCCTTCCCTACTCCGTAAGACTTTCACCCAGTCTCCACTCATTTAAAAAATCATTGAAAACTCACTTCTTCAAGAAAGCATATCAGTTAAACTGTAAGCAGGTTTTTTATCCCCCACCCCCATGACTCATCTCCTGCAACTATCAAAAATTCCCTACTAAGCCCTCAATTAATACTTTTCTAACAACCTACTTCGTACCCCTACTTTAACCCTTTGTGTCACTATACCCCACTCCCTCTAGAATGTAAGCTCATTGAGCACGGCCCTCCACCTCTCTGTTCCTGTACATCCAATTGTCTGGTTAAAATTACATGTCTGTTAGTCCACCCAATGTACAGTGCTACGGAATGTGATGGCGCTATATAAATAATAATAATAATAATATAGCATGCCTGTGATCTATCTCATCCACTATGGCCCCAGTAGTCTAACCTGCCAGCCACCTGGGGACACAAAGCAAAGGACAGTATGAGGGTGCCATGCGCCCCAGCCCTAGCTGAATCAGAGCCAGAATCCAAAGAACCTGTGCCTACAGCCGACGGCGCTAATGCGGCAAGCCCAGTAACGGGCCAGCCCCGTCCCCACCCGACCATGCGGTCGCGGGGAAGTGGATGTTCGAGGCCGCCGCACTCCATGGGAAGGTAACCCCCCACCCACGCCGCTCCAGCCGCGGGAGAAGTTATACCGCGAGTAGAAGCATGGGTCGGGTGGGGGTGGGAAACAGGATCTCGCTCGGAGGACGGAGCCGGTGTGCAGGATCCAACATGTGGGACCGCGGTCCCGACGGTCGGCAACGGAAAGCGGTCACAAGACCGCTTTCCGGCGCCCACAAAACGGACAAGAAAGGGAAGGGGGCAAAGAAAGAGGGAGGGAAAAGAAGGAAAGCCCTCCCCCCAAACCGCAAAAGAACAATCCCCAGACAGGGGCCCCAATGAACAGGAAAGGCAGAAATGCTATATGAGAAAACACATCCCTACAGCAATAAGTAGGGACAGTAGATACAATCTAAACAAATAAATCATTATGGCAGTAAGTAGTTAGATGCAGAAAAAAATGTGTAAATAAATAAATCAATCACTACAGCACTGAGAAGTTAGATGTAGAAAAAATCAGTATAGATAAATAAATCAATCAATCACTACAGCACTAATTAGGTAGATGTTGAAAATACAGTACAAATAAATAAATCAACACAGTAATAAACAGATAGATACGGTAAGATATCCACAACCACCCACTAGAAGCAGTGGTACTCTGACCTGTACTTACTGCGGAGCAGCAAAGAAAGAGGAAATAGTTGTTTGGGAGGAGCCTTTTATGGATTCCTGACTTTTTTGTCTCTGGTGTTTTTCTCTCTATGTTAATGTGCTGAGGTGGAGTTCTAGTAAGGAGAGACTTAAGCAAATATGAAGCCTCCTGTCATGTTATAAAATTCAATACAGGGTGGCAGAGAACTGCCTTTCCCTTTGGGTTCCTGCAATAAAACCTGTGTTGATATGAAGTATATAATTGTACAAAATATCTGTCAGCTGATACCGATGGTATGCTGCAGCTGAATGTCTCTGAATAGAGAAGCACTATACCTCCAGGGTAAACGGTACCTCCTGGCCCCCCTGGGCAGAGATTGGCAGGGAGTAATGGCCTTGCTCTGGAGCACAGGGTGACATGTAACGATACTTTGACACATTACTGCCACATTATTTTTATGTTTTTCTGTTATATTATTTTGTTCAAGCTGCTTGTCTTTACTTACTGTTTTTGAAAACATGCTGCTGTTAAAATGGCATGCTGTTTATGACTTTATATTACTGGTGTAGTACTTAACAAAGAATAATAAAAAATAAAAAAAAGGAAAGAAAGCAAGAGAAAAAGCAGTTAAATTCATCAGTAATACGACCCCGAGACACATTCTTTTCTGCAGATTCATCCACTGTGAGATCAACAAAATTGATCATCCCAGGTCCAATCCAATGTTTCCAATAGAGAGACATTGCACATCTACAGCGCAGCAACCACAGACAATGAGCAATAAAAAGCCAGATATGGGAGTGCAAGATCTTCTTGTTGTTAAGGGCTGGGAGAAAGATGAGCGACATCCAATAGATTCAGCCTTGTGGTATAAGCCTTTGTAGCACATAAGAGGATGACAGCACAAGCAACCCATCTTGAAGTGCGTAGGAAGATCTTATACAGATAGTACCTATCATGGATGGCACATTTTGGGGATTCCACCTACAAAATGTGTTGGAAGTATGAGAAATCTGCCATCACAATATTCCATATTTGGTAGGCATATAAAGAAGGGCAGACCCTCTGGGTCTGCAGACAATAGAACTGATTAAGCAGCCAACAAGTTTGACAATAACACCGTCGGGGAACTATGAATGTATGATGGATGCACAGATGGATTCACCAAGCTGGTTAACCCAACTTGGAACCTGTGGACAATCTTGCCTAGCAACCTAAATTAAAAATAATTATTGCAAATCTGGAACCAAAAATTTACCAGCCCTCTTCCACCCCCATCTTCACTTTCTTTTCCCCATAATCAGTTTGGCTTGGTTTCTTTTCTGTTTTAAATGCATCTTCTGAGATTGAAAATTGTAAGTAATTTCTTGCGTATAAAAAAATAGGAATAAACTTAAAATAAAAAAAATTTAAAACTTGATTTCATTAGGTCAAGCTTTTGACTGCAGGGGATATGACCAGCAGCTTGCAAAAAATGTGAGTGCTACATCCCTGTCATTCAAAGAGTTAAAACATGTAATTATGTATTACTTACAGGAATGCAGGAAATTGCTTAGGCTAACGAGTTACACTATTCCCGCTATGATACAATGATTTATGCTAACTTATATATTATAATTATAATTACAATTACCAACTCAGAACAATCCAATTTATAATAGGATACTTGAGAATACAAGGCAATACAATAATGAAACTGTACCTGGAAACCTAGGATAGTCTAGAAGCATGCTTCAAACACACAGAGTGTGGTAGGTCTGGAGGAAACATTTCCAGAAGGCAAACAGTGCTGGGGCTTGAGGAACACATTTCCTAAATAAAATATATAATTGATAACTACATGACACTTGTAGAAACATGAGCAGATATAAAATCACAATGCAGAGATTGAAATCACAACCCCTGAATCTGATGTGCACCAAATGACCAGATTTAAAAAAAACAAAAAAAAACTTGCCCATGTGGACTTTGAACTCACAACCTGTACATCACAAGCTCAGTTCACAGCTAGCTTGCAGGAGGTATGACATTCAGAATGAATCTCAATGAATTGGTCTGGGAGCTGTGATTATTTAGATTTTACCCTGCAATGTAAAACATTCAGTATTTTAGAAAGAGCAATGTTTATGTTGCAGGGTGAAATCCACCTCCAGTGGCTGACTTTCTGACAGCCAATAGAAGCACTTCTGATGCGCTGACCAAGTAAAACTTGGTCAACTGATGCGGAAGCCCAAAGGAAAGCATTGAATTCATGCATAGTGCTTGTCACCCATATGCATCAGTTTCCAATGCTCGTCTATGAGGAACATTGGATTGGCCATTGGCTCAAAAGCTGGATGATATTGAGGGAGGGAAGACCTAGTTTCAGCACTGAGATTTTCACATCAAACGGGAGTGGGGACATAAAACAAAACTGCAAATAGGCCAATGTAGCGTTAGGAGTACAGGTTTATATTCCTAATGCTATAGCATTCCTTTAAGTGTATCGTGCTTCTGTTAGGATTTCCATCACTGAGCTTCCTCTATCACAGAGGTCATACATGCAATCACTCTATATGCCATACAAAATATTAAGCTTCCATTGTCATGGTGGTTACGCACCCAATCATTCAGATTGCTCTGTTTGGTCAGGTCATCATCTCTCTACTCTACTCTGGCTATTTTGTAAGCCAATACCATGGCTAACTGGTTGAACTTTAGGATTCATAAAAGCTAAAGCAAACCTGTTACAATTCTTAAGGTTTATTTCACCTAGAATCCCTGCCTCCCAAAATTTAAAAAGGAACACTGTCATTTTTAGTGTTGTGAGTGGGAGGAGGCCTCCTTTGGATATTTGATACAAAATAAATAAAAAGGAGAGGTGTATAGAGGTTGTAAGGGTCAGGAGATCAGGATGTCCGAGTAATTAACATCTAGGTGTTACAATGCAAGTATTTGTTTACCCAAGCCATCCTGTCTCTAAAGATAAGCAATACTCAACCAACCCAAGAATCCACCATAACTGGTCACTTCTTACCAGGGGGAAAGATCATGGGGTAAAATTTGTATAAAATATAAGAACAATCTGATTAGTGAGGGGGGTCCAAGGAGGTCCGCCCTGAGGAGGAACTTTTGCTAGCAGGTCTAGAGGGACTCCTTCTTTTCATCTGACCATGTGAGCGGAGAGTGAACCAGGCCATATATAAATAAGTATAAATAATGAACATCTTATTGTATTGTATTATATTGCATTCAAGGTCTATGTATTAATACTATGTTTTTTATGTTTATATTTATGACAAAACTGTAATTGTAGTCTAATTAAATAACCAACATCAATATATATGTTATTTTATATACACTTGTCGGTGTGTTTTGTTGGTCCACATTCCATAAAGAATTACCTTGTAGAGGGTGTTATTTTCTTACACACTAATTCACCACTCACTCCTCTACACTTTGTCATGATTCCGTAAAATAAAATAATAATTGTTATCACGTAAGAGAGGCTTAAGTAATTTTTTGGATTGATATAGCTACTCACTACTGAAGGCATTATATCATATTTACAGACAATCCTATGGGGAATGTTAAGGATCAGCATTTTTAACAACAGTCTTATGGTTATCTCTTGTGTATCTTGTCGCTTTGTCTATATGCAGTAGATGAGGCCATAGGTCGCTCATGCATTTTGTAATGATGATTCCATATTATCAGCAAGCCGTGCACTTTACCCCTCTTGCAATATTTTTTTTTTGTACTCTTTGAGAAGTTAATGCTTCAATAATAAGTAAAACTTTGACAACATTCCTACTGCAGTCCCTTCACGCCTCCAAACCAAGTTCTATATACTAATGTGGGTCAAGAAGGTTAATTCTCACTCTGCAGCCAAGACATGCAACAAATGCTCTCCACAGGAAGGAAGAGCTATAATGGTTATGAAAATTCAGCACTTCAACAAAGCTTTTAGATTGTGAACCGTGTTGGTCTCTTATTTACCATGGCTTTTCAGGAACTCCTGATGAAAGTTGGGGGTATGGGGCGTTTTCAGATAATACATGTTGTTCTGCTGTCCCTTCCTGTGTTCATGCTGGCTAGCCACAATCTTATTCAGAACTTCACGGCGGCCATCCCGAAACATCGATGTCGTATTAATGGTTCATGGGAAGAGGGCAATTTTACTGCCGATGGGCTACAAGCTTTCCTTCCAGTGGAACCATCAGGAGCATTCTCTAGTTGCCTAAGATACACCAGTCCCCAGTTTCAGCTGCTGAATAGCAATTCTACAGGTAACATCAGTGATACAGAATCATGTGAAGATGGCTGGGTATATGATTACAGTGAGTTTTCTTCAACCATTATAACCAAGGTGAGAATTGTTTAGATGTGTTAACCCCTTAAGGACACAACTTCTGGAATAAAAGGAAATTATGACGGAAAATTTACGTCATGTGTCCTTAAGGGGTTAATTGAAGTGTTCTATATGTGTGTTTTTAAATTCTTAATCACATTCCGCTGTTTCTATTGGGGTTTTTATTCTTTCCTAGTTCGTCATCCCTTTTTTTTTTTGTGATTACTATATTTTATTATTACAAAAATTCTGTTTTGAATCTTACCAGGCAGCTTAAAATCCCCAATCTTAGCAAACAAATATGAAGATTTAGTTAAACCATATGGCCATCACTACATCACAGTACTCCAATATCGGTGGGGCCTAAGCTAATTTTAGCACAAGAGGTAAACATGCCTACTGTAACATGTACTGTTTAAACGGCTCCCAGGCCTTCCCTGTGGTCAATTCCAAAGGGTCACCTGGAGTAAAGGGGCAGGGTTTACTCCCCCAAAGGGAATAACAGTAAGAAACTGACAGACAGAATTAATGTCTACAAATATACATACCTCTTGTTTCCCTCACACGATATGCTTCCTCTATACCTCTTCTAATCTCACTACAGCTCATTGCACTCACTCATCCTTTAATCTGTCAGGTTATCGCCCCTCTTCTATCTTTTGTTGGCTCTGGGTAGATATTGCTTTGTGTGCATTGCAGTCTACAGTTTTATTATTCTCTGATTTTTTTTTTCTCTGTATCCCTGGTTTAACTGTACTTTTGTTTCAGTGGGACCTGGTCTGTACACAACGCAGAATGAGACAACTGGCTCAATCAATTTATATGGCGGGGGTTCTAGTTGGGTCCATTGTATTTGGGGGTCTCTCAGACAAGTAAGATTTTGCCAAATCCAAGAGAACACATAAAAGTATGTTGGTATTACTTAAAAGCTCGTCAATCTGTGCAATGTGCTCGTTTTAATGAGATTACTTTTCAAAATGACATAGGCAGTGATGAGCAATGAGAAACAAAAGACATGATTTATTTAAACAATTTTTGGCAAAATGGCTGTAAATGTCTAACCAAAGAAGCCATGTATGAATATAAAATGGTATAAAGGTGATGAAAATAAACACACCCCACTGGATCAATAGGATAACTGTATAAAACTTTATATAACCTTTTTTACTGCTATGCTATCCAAATGGTTTGAATTTGTAATCAATTTCTTAAAAGAACTTTATATTTCAATGACAATTACAAGACCACCAAAGCAACATCTGTAATCATTATCATTACAAATATTCTAATTATAAGAATAAATGGGGTTAATGAGCTTCAAAGAAATACAAATGATATTAAGTGAATCTAAACTGAATTGAAGGAAATTTAGTGTGAATTCACTTTGAATTTCAACTTGCAAGCTGAAATATCCAAAGTGAAAACAAAGCTCACTTGAATATTTTATTTTGATTTTGCAATGTTGGCCTTAAATTTGGAATTCTCTTTTTAAACTCCCTTCACTGAATTCCAGATAATTCACACTTTATAACCCTGTTTATGAGAAAGTCCCTCTGTCAAGATAGAAGCCAGTGAGAGGCAACAATATTGCATGCAAGTCTTAAACAAACATTCCACTCACATGCTTTATGTTTCTATTTCAGTCTTACTAACCCATGTGTACCTGTTTTAGCCTCACCTGTATATCCTGGTTCAATCCATAAAAAGCACTGTGCACAGGTTACACCTATTTAAAAGATACAACAGTCACACCTTCTTGCTGTGTAACAATGCAATATAAAAACTGTTGAATTTATCGACTAACAGGCAGTAACTTGTAATTATCTCATATCACAAAAAAAAAAAAAAATACATAATTGAGCATTTGAGAATATACAATAGTTCCCTTGGTGAAATATTATCCATGTAACTACCACTGATATAGTTATAGTTATGTTATTATGTATTGTGTGTGTCTGGTGTTTACAAGAGACTGTTTCCAAACCTCTAGTAAGCAAATTTTCTTTATCCAAAACCAATGTGTTATCAGTTAAGATTAATTGTGTATTCTGGAAAACTAATGGGATTGAGGGGTTCTGGAGACATCATAATAAATTGTGAGATTTCAGATAGAGTGGTTTATACTGTAAATTTCTGCACAATATGGGTTTATCTTTCCATAATACATGGTCAGCAATTTCAGCTGTAATAATTAAAATGTTCCACTCAGGAGTAACTCCCACCAATCTGAAGTACAGTGGGCCATGTATGTCTGGGTTCTGGCCCAGATTAAGGCCTGGAGACTGCACAAGCTCATCATTACAGGAAATAACAGCATAGAACTGTTTCTACCTACTTACGTTACTCCTGTAATGAACTCCCATTATCAAATTTATTTTAGAATTGAGACCCAATTCAGGAAATCTTGTTTAAACCTTGTATTAAGATTGTGTAACAAATACTAGTGCCAGTCATTGACTATGGGGTTCATAATCAGGGCCGGAATTACATCTAGAGCGCCTGTATGTAGACAATTATTAAAATCACTCACAAATCCATTCCACCTCCTCCTTTTCAAAACTAAAAAAAAACTTGATAAAAATGTGATGATATATGAATAAATTAGTTGTATGCACACACAGACATGTAGATTTTGTCTGTATGTGTAGATTTTGTGTTTGTGTTGGTGTGTGTCTGTGTAAGTACATATGTCAGTGTATGTAGATGTCTGTGAATTTGTAGCAGTGTGAGTGTGTAGTAGTGTGTTTGCAACAGTGTAGTGTTTGTTAGTAAGTGTTGGTGTGGGAAGTTAAGTTTGTAACAGTGTGGAGGTGGGTAGTAGTCTGTATAATGTATGTAACAGTGTATGTGTGTAACAGTGTGGGTAGTAGCCTGTATAATAGTGTGTGTAACAGTGTTTGTTTGTAAGTGTTGGTGTGGGAAGTGATGTGTGTAACAGTGTGGTGTGGGTAGTAGTCTGTATAATAGTGTGTTTAACAGTGTTTGTTTGTAAGTGTTGGTGTGGGAAGTGATGTGTGTAACAGTATGGTGTGGGTAGTAGTCTGTATAATAGTGTGTGTAAAAGTGTGGTGTAGGTAGTAGTCTGTATAATCGTGTGTATAACGGTGTTTGTTTGTATATGTTTTTTTCTTTAAAAATGTGCCCTTTTGCATTTATAATCAAATTATACCCTTATGAAGTGGTGACGTTTAACTGTGTTTTTGTATATGTTTTAAATATATATCATCCTTTATCTATATGGTGGGATTTTTTTTGCGTTTTTTTTAAATCCCAGGATATCATAGAAATCCACTATGTAAACAAATGCATGGATTACATTATACTTTGATTAATCACTGTTGTCTCTCCACGCGCATATACAGGTTTGGACGTAGACCATTGAATATCTGGTCCCACTTACAGATGGCTGTTACTGGAGTGTGTTCAGCATTTGCCCCTAACTATATCCTTTATTGTGTATTTCGCTTCCTGACGGGTACCGCACTCTCTGGCATAGTGCTCAACTCCTACTCGTTGAGTAAGCTTTAATGTAAAATAGCATTAAAAACCCCATGAATATGTATAAAAAAATTGTGGGATGATTATTGTGACAAGTTGAAGTGTTTATAGAGAGCTTATATTAAGTAATACAATAAAGACGTGTTTTTACAATGTATTTGGGGACCATTAACTGCCAAAGTTTAATTTACTTAAATGACGTACGTCTCATGTTAGTTAAATGGATTTATCAATATGATAGAGAAATAGTGATGGTTGGAAAGGCAAATTTTAAAGCAAAATTGAACTACAAGTATAGAAAAAGAGGGAGAGATTAAAGGAGAGACTAAAGATCAGGAATTAATGAGCACAGAACAGATCCACGCATTTAATTATTTTGTTTCCTATTTCATATGAAACGCACATTATTTATTTTTATGTCTATAGTATTAAATCACACACAGAGAAAATATTAACACTTTTTATTGAAAATGGTAATGAATTAGTAAACCATTGCAGAAAATAAGATTTAATTATGTTTTTCTCCAGTTGTAGAATGGATCCCTACAGAATCTCGTGCATTCACGAGCACAGCCACTGGATACTGCTATACAATTGGTCAGCTGGTCCTGGTGGGCTTGGCGTACCTTATCCGGGACTGGCGTATGCTACAGCTAGCAGCTTCCCTTCCCTTTTTCATTTACTTTATCTATTCATGGTATGATTTTTTTTGATTTTTTTTAAATGCCACCACTGTTTTTATGTCATCTCATCTCCATTTAGGAAGTTGTTGAAGGTATTCATACTACACCATTCAGCCCTTCAATGTGTTTTTAAAAAATTGCAACCACCTTATCTCAACAATTTCAACAGATGTACGTAAAGATCTTAATTAATTACCTAGACCAGGGATAGGCAACCTTTAGCACTCCAGATGTTGTGAACTACATCTCCCTTGATGCTTTTCCAGCATTATGGCTGTACGAGCATTATTGGAAAACCGAAGGTTGCCTACTCCTAACTTAGACCATGCAGTTGATTATTTCCCATCATAATGTCATATCAAGGTCCATCCACAAAGACATATGAAGTTACATATGTCCTTAGAATTACACAACAATATTAACTAGTGGACATAAATGCATAAATGTATAATATAATTTATCATGAACAACTAGATGATGGAATGAGGTATAATCAAACAGACTGTCTTGACATATGCTCTATTGTACTCTAGGTGGATCCCAGAGTCTGGCCGTTGGCTTGTACTCACTGGAAAATCTCAAAAAGCTATTAAAGAGCTGAAGAAGGTGGCCAGAATCAATGGATTTAAGGAAGAAGGTGAAAAGCTCACTGTGGAGGTATACATACTTTGTCAATGTCTTTATTATTAATATGGAAGATATTTCTAAATTCACAAAATATAACAATAGCTTAAGCATTATCACATGAAACTGTATCTGGTTTGTGTGAATTAAGTAAAAAAGATAGATTTGTCATCAGGAGGTCCAAAGACCTTCAAATCATTGGGCAGTAATGGTAAGACAACGTAGATTGCAAAAATTAATATTATAAATCTGGTAAAATCTTTAGAATTTCCCATGCAGCTCACGTTATCAGATTTGTCCAAGATTTCATTATCTTTATAATTCTTCCTCCGACAAAACAATCTCCTCCAATGGAAGTTGCCTTTTTAAATAGATTCACTAATTCTTTGAATATATGTAACTACTGGAGTAGTTTTTCAAATGTGGGAACACTTTATGCATGGACAGGATGTTCCACAAGATAAAATTTAAAAGAAAGAAAATCATTCTTGAAATCTAATACCATTTAGTGAATAAATAACAGCATTTGTTGTAAAATGTCAAGGTTTTATTGGAAGCATTAAACATATACTTTTTCAGTGTTCCTATATTTGCTAATGTATGAATTGTTTCTTTCTACCTTTTAGTATGTCACAGGCAACATGCAGAGAGAAATTAAAGCTGCACAAAAGACCACATATTCTGTTTTAGACCTGGTAAAGACTCCTGTAGTTAGAAGAATATCCTTCTGTTTATCTTTCACCTGGTAGGTAGTAACCTAACATGACTCTTAGGGTATGAGGCTCAGAAGCTATGTACTGCAAATTTCTATATGTATCTTTTTACAACTGAAGAGTCCAGTAATATATTGTTCAACCTTTTTTCTCCTCCAACTTCTAAGGTTCTCCACTAGCTTCTCTTATTATGGACTGGCTTTGGATCTGCAGAAATTTGGATTCAGTGTCTTCATCATGCAGATCATCTTTGGGGTTGTTGACATTCCAGCTAAATTTATTTCCTACTTTGTGATGACATATATTGGCCGTCGGGTCCTGCAAAGTGGTTCCATGTTTCTAGCAGGTGTTGCAATTTTGGTGAATATATTTGTACCTCCAGGTAAGTCTCTGTGTGATACTTGATTTTGTATAAAGCCATTCTTCATGCCCATATAGACAAAGCAATATAATAATAATAATAATAATATCTCAGTATGAAGGGGTTCTCTGTGTCCAGTTGTAGACATTTGTATTCACATGGAATAATTAACTCTAAAGTATGTATCCCAGGTCTAGATTTGCTTGTTCACATCTAGATAATTAAACTACAGGTAGGTGTAAGTACTACGAAGACCAATGCTGAGGATCACAAAGAAGTTTTGGCACTTGTAATGTATCTGGGTTTGCAAGAACCTGAAAGATAGAGTGTAGTATTAATCATATCATAGCTGAATTTGTTGTGTCTCTTAATCATTGCATTTGTTTGTTCTAGAGTATCAAGCTGTGCGAACATCAATGGCAGTTTTTGGAAAGGGATGTCTGGCAGCAGCATTCAATTGTCTGTATCTGTACACTGGAGAAATGTACCCAACTGTCATAAGGTAAAAAATATTCTTCTAGATGGCCTGTCAAAGAGACAGTAGACATTCTTAGACATTGGGTAGCTTTCGTGTTAAGTTTTCATCTACCTTATGAGTGTGAACATCTGCATGTGAAATAAGAAGACTTATCAATACTTTTTTTAAGTCAACTGCTGGTGGTTTCTTCATATTAATGGTAGATGCTTCTAGTTTCCTTTTGTTAGGGGTACCTGCTGAGAGGTACACTCATCTTACATACAGATAGGAGGTCATGGCCACACTCTCCTATACATACAAATAGGAGGTAAAGGACAGACTGTCCTATGCATACAGATAGGAGGTTATGGCCATACTCTCATATACTTACAAATCAAGGACACACTATCCTATATAAACAGATAGGAGGTCATGGAAATACTATCCCATTCACACAGACAGGAAGTCATGGACACACCGTCCCATGCAAACAGATAGGAGGTCATGGACACACTGTCCCATGCAGATAGGAGATCATGGACATACCATCCCATACAAGCAGATAGGAGGCCATGGATACACTATCCCACACAAACAGATAGGGGGCTGTGGACACTGTATCCCACACAAACAGATAGGAGGTCATGGACACACTATCCCATACAAACAGATAGAAGGTCATAGACACTCTATCCCATACAAACAGATATGAGGTCATGGACACTCTATCCCATGCAAACAGATAGCAGGGGCATTGCTAAGTGGCACAGTAAAATTGGCTGATTTGTGTGCTATTCAATACTTTGTCTCTTGTATAGTAAATTAATATATCATTACTTAACTTCTAATTGCATAACTGACTTAATCAGTAGAAACAGATATTGGAAAATCTGCCATAGTTAGTGCTTTTTTCTCTTCAAAGAGGATAGCAAAAGAGGCAAATATTGTCATTAGTAACGCTTTCATGTTTTCCTTGACAGACAGTCAGGAATGGGACTTGGAACCATGATGGCACGGATTGGTGGAATTATTGCCCCACTTGTTCAAATGACTGCTGACTATTATCAACATCTTCCACTCATTATTTATGGTTGTTCTCCTATAATTTCTGGCATTGCTGGCTGTTTCCTTCCAGAGACTCTCAATGTCCCCCTTCCTGAAACAATAGACGAAGTGGAAAGGTCAGTGTTATCCTTGTGCTTTAATATAATAGAAGTCCATGGATACAAAATAGAGACACTAAAAAAGAAAGTGTGAATAAAAGAAAAATGTAAAATTATTTCATCTGATGTAGACCTGTTGAATGTTGGAAAACGTTCATCATCACATACTTACTTCCAGTGTACAGTAGGAAGCCTAATGTTTTCTAACGCTCTTATATGCAGAGCATTAAATTAATTGAGAAAAAACATAATGTTTATACTATAGTATATATTTAATGGACTCATTAGATCTTTCTATATGAGTCCTATAATTATTATGAATAAGTAACACCACATGGAAGAGGTCATAGTAACAGAATGAGCACAATTATACTAGACCAGCCATCTATAAGTGCTTAATAATACAAGAACATGGAAATAACGTTCACAATATCATGAACTGCTTTTTATTTTGCCAATTTGAAAAACAGTTTCTTTCGAGGGAAGCCTATTTTTTCAGGGTTATTCACTTCTTTCTTTGTCTTGGGTATATTGAATGAAACAAATACATATAGCCCCATAACTACTACTAATACACCATGCGAATCATTAAAATGCTCACTATAACTGAGCAATTGAACCTCTATACTATAAAAAATCTCTTCTGATAGCTTGGCTTTTACTAGAGTGCAGTTTGGGTAAGTATAATATACTATAAAATACCTCTCCTGGCACTTCTGTACCATCCACACAAGACAGATATCCAATAGAATGCATAATGTAACTCCAACTTGAGAGTTCCTCTTTAAACTAAATAAGTATTCAGAACTTTATTCCTAATGTCTTCTATTACTCCATGTAATTCATTACGTTATTCCATATAGCTGTCCATACCCGAGTATTGCTTTATATAACTATCTTTTTGTTCCGTATAATGTTTCCTCTATTGCTTTACATAACTGCTGAATTAGTTTTTTCTTTTACACTGTAGATCTGGTAAATGGAATAAGAGTGCCACTCCCAGCGAGAAGAAGAGTTTAAAAACCACAGAGTTGGATAAATTACAAGTTGAAGTTTAAGCTTGTGGTATACTATGCCAAAACTAGCTATGGCATATAGAAGGTCCACATCATAATAATTTGCACAGTACTTGTTTGCCCTGATATACATTATCCAACAATATCTTTGCCTGTGAAAAGACTAAATGAAGACATGCATCGAGGGCTGCATATCAGGACATATTGTGAGTGCACTTTAATGGATCTATGTGCAATCATCCTGAAATTCCTTGTCACCAATATTAATTTGTGTATCCAAGCTAAGACTCTTCCACTCCCACTTGTTCTTCTCTGGACATTTTACAAACCGGACCCAGCGAGATTAGAAACAAAGAAATCTACTGTCTAGGAAGCCAAAAGAACGGTGCTTGCTTTTGAGGACTCAGTCTCTCTTCCTTGAATGCACTACATTTACAAAGACTATGAGCTAACACTTTTTACTCTCGTTTGTACTCTTAGTCACTGAGGAACTGAGCACCAAAAATGATGAAGGAGATCTGTGACTTTAGAGGTGATGATCTTGTTTTAGCTATGTTATGAGAGCACTATAACTTTCTTATATATGCCAATGGCTCTGCACAGGGGCAGTCTTTTGCTTTGCACAATGATGGCAGATGGCATATCAGTCTCCTTTGGTAGTTAATGGTGGTACTATTGACCACCAACAGTCTCCAGTAATTCACTCCAATGGTTGAGCTAAATGTTCTCCACCAGTCTGTACTAAACCAAATGCTGACAGAACATTAAGTAAATTGTAACTCAGCAACAAATAGAGATCTACCACTTGGATACCAATGTTTTATACATTAAACATTTGATCCAAAAAAATACTGTAATACAGTGTAGAATATAATAAAAATCTCAAAAGCAGACCTTTCCTACATCTGAAAAATGGTTACATAATATCCATGTTTCAAGGTGAGACTTGTGCTGCCCAAGCCATCTGCATAGAGCTCTGTGTAGCTCTGTTAAATGTAAGTTTACACCTTTGTCAATTGTTCATACTATATATGTATGTATATGAATATGAATTTACAGAATGTTTCTCCCTTTCTGTGGAGTAATAATTTGGAACAAACCTGTACTGCTTTCTTATGTGCAAGTGTGTAGCCAATCAAAAGAGGCAATTATTTCTCACAAATATTGATATACACACTTTCGTATCCTGTGTCATAATTAAGACATTTTGAAAATATAAATCCTCTGTCTCTTTCCAACCTATGAGGATTTAAAATATCTATGCATAAAAATAAACATTAACAATAAAGACAATGAACATACATAAACATTCTTTTAGTAGTCATATCTATCATTAATATTGACAGCAAGTACAAATGTGTTTAGTGTACAATAATTATCGTCTGACTGAGTAATTGTGTCATATACCAATCATTTGAGAACCTTTTTATTCTAGTATTGTGTACCAGCAGTGACATGCGCACCCTATTACACTTGCACTGTGTGCCATAACAAATGGTTATCTGAATACAAAACGCGTTTTGTCACTGTTGACTTCATCAGGGATATGTCCAACCTGGAAAGAGCTCCTCTTATATACAGTTGTGTTCAAAAGTTTGCATCCACTTGGAGAATTGGTAATATATGGACCATTTTTTCAAGAAAACATAAGTGAGCAGGCAAAACACATTTATTTTATTTCTTATGGGATTGATATTCAACTGTAGATTATAACAGAATGACACAATCATAAAACAAAACATGGCATCAAAGAAAAAAATTACATGACCCCAGTTCAAAAGTCTGCATACCCTTAGTTCTTAATACTGTGTATTTGTTTAGCATCAATGACAGCATGCAGTCTTGTGTAATAGTTGTCTGAGGCCCCTAATCTTGCAGTTGGTATAGCTGGCCATTCGTCTTGGGAAAATGCCTCCAGGTCATAGTTACATAGCTGAAAAGAGACTTGCGTCCATCAAGTTCAGCCTTCCTCACATTTGTTTTTTGCTGTTGATCCAAAAAAAGGCAAAAAAAACAGTTTGAAGCACTTCCAATTTTGCAACAAACTAGAAAAAAAAAATCTTTCTTGTCCCGAGAGTGGCAGTCATAATAATCTTGTCCCCAGAGTGGCAGTCAGATTGGATCAAGAAGCTATTACCCTACATTGAAAGATTATATACTTGAATATTCTGTTTTTGCAAGTATGCATCTAGTTGCTGTTTGAAAATCTGTACGGACTCTGATAAAACCACTTCTTCAAGCAAGGAATTCCACATCCTTATTGTTCTTACAGTTAAAAAACATTTGCCTTAAACAAAATTTTCTTTCTTCCAGTCTAAAGGCATGACCTCATGTCCTATGTAAAGTCAGGTTTATGAATAGATTTCCAGATAATCGTTTGTACTGGCCCGAATATATTTGTATAATGTTATCATATCCCCTCTGAGGTGCCATTTTTCCAAACTAAAGAGACTTACATTTTTTAACCTTTCTTCGTAACTAAAATGCTCCATTCCTTTTATCAATTTTGTAGCTCGTCTCTGCACTTTTTCTAGTGCCATTATATCCTTCCTTAGAACCGGTTCCCAAAATTGCACAGTATATTCAAGGTGTGGTCTTACCAGCGATTTATAAAGAGACAAAATTATATTTTCAACCCGAGAATTTATACCCCTATTTATACATGACAAAACCTTATTGGCCTTAGCAACTGCAGATTGACATTGCATATTGCTGCCTAATTTGTTGTCTATAACAATTCCCAAATCCTTCTCGTGTGTGGTTATCCATAATTCACTACCATTTAGGGTATAAGTTGCTTGTGCATTCTTGACCCCGAAGTGCATAACTTTGCATTTCTCTACATTAAATTTCATCTGCCATTTTAGTGCCCAGTTCCCCAAGCTATCCAAATCCCTCTGCAGGAAAGCAATATCCTGCTCCCATTTAATTATACCAGTATACAGTATACCCACCACTCTCTAAGGAACTCCTGGTTTTCTAACTTCTACTTGAAAGAGTCTACATAATAGAGTCTGCTTTCAAGCAAAGTCTTTGGTTGTCTTGCATGAAAAGCGCATGTTTGAGATCTCCCCAGAGTGGATCAATGATATTAAGGTCAGGAGACTCTGATGGCCACTCCAGAACCTTCACCTTTTTCTGCTGTAACCACTGAAGGGCCAACTTGGCCTTGTGCTTAGAAGAATGCAAATTGTCTGCCATATGTTCTGATAACATGCTGCATTCATCTTGCCATCAATTTTCACAAGATTCCCTGTGCCTTTAGAGCTCACCTTCCCCACCCCTCCCAACACACCCTAAAACATCAGTAAGTCACCACCATTGTTCACAGTGGAGGTGGTATTCTTTTCACTATAGGCTTTGTTGACCCCTCTCCAAACATAGCGCTTATGGTTGTGACCATGAAGCTCTATTTTGGTCTTGTCAATCCAAATGACGGTATGCCAGAAGCTGTGAGGCGTGTCAAGGTGTGGTCGGGCATACTGTAACTGGGTTTTTTTTTGTGGCATTGGCACAATAAAGTTTTCTTTCTGGAAATTCAAACATGCAGCTCATTTTTGTTCAAGTATTGTCGTATTGTGCTGCTTGAAACAACCACACTGTCTTTTTCCAAAGCAGCCTGTATTTCTTTTGACGTTACCTGTGGGTTTTCCTTTGTATCCCAAACAATTCTTCTGGCAGTTGTGGCTGAAATCTTTCTGATGGACCTGATCTTAGCTTGGTATCAAGAGATCCCCAAATTTTCCACTTCTTAATAAGTGATTGAACAGTACTGACTGGCATTTTAAAGGCTTTGGATATCTTTTTACATCCTTTTCCATCTTTATAAAGTTCCATTACCTTGTCAGGCAGGTCTTTTGACAGTTCTTTTATACTCCCCATGGCTTAGTATCTAACCTGCTCAGTGCATCCGCGTGAGAGCTAACAAACTCATTGACATTTTATACACAGTCACTAATTGCAATTTAAAAAGGCACAGTTGTGAGAAATACACCTTTCATTGCCATGTGTGTGTCACCTTGTGTGTCTGTAACAAGGCCAAACATTTAAGTGTATGTAAACTTTTGATCAGTGCCATTTGGGTGATTTCTTTTATCATTTAACATGGAGACAAACAACTATATGATTTTTAAAAATGGCTTTATTTGACTACTATCCTTCAATAAATTAAATGTTTTGCATAATCAGTCATATTTTCAAAATCAATGCCAAAATTTCACAATTTCTGACAGGGTATGCAAACATTTGAGCACAGCGGTATTTTTCGCTGATAGGGAAATACTATTTAGCATTCATATTCAATTATCTTTGATTTTCTGCATGCATTATTATTTTTTTCTCTTTTCTCTCTTTTGGGGTGTTGTTTTGAGGCACAACAAAAGGTCTATTTTTTGTTTTCTCTATAGGTTGGTTCGTTTAAGCAGTTACAACAAGTCTAGCAGTTTGATTATTATTATTTTATTACTATTTTCAATTCCATACAGTTTACAAATAACCCATTGTCCCCTCCTTTATCTTCTTAATTTCAACCTTTAGATTCTTTATTTAAAGAAAATTAAAAGTAACACATCAATCCAAAATGTATCAGGTAAAATTAAACAATCACCTATACATTAATAACATGAATGGTAATAGAAAATAAAAGGTAGGATTTGGTTTGGGCAATTTTGAAATGGTCATGGATTGAACAAGAGACCATCAAGAGATGTATTCAAGACAAAATTTCCAGACCTTATAAAAGTAGAAGAGTTATGGTGTTAAAATGCAGTTAGTTTGTACATCTGCATATTATCCTAATTTTTAGCATTACAATGATAGGTCGAGCAATGAGTAATTGGCTTTCAGCAGGGCTTTGTGGCCACAAGTGCAATCTTAAATAATTTATTTTCATGAGACTTAAGGACCTCAGTGGGTTTTGACAGTAAAAAAAGTCCACGGGTCCAAGGGAAGAGGATGTGAGTGAAGAGACTCCGTCAAGCGATGTACAGAGTTCCAAAAGAGTGTCAAATAGAGACAGGACCACCATACATGGATGCGCATACCCTTAATGACACATAAACACCAACACATGAGACCACTGACATGTGACTCCTGCAAAAAATAAAGGGAATTTGAAGTGTGTTAAATTATTTCAGGAGTGCATTATGGTGTTTTGCTGCACATGTGCACCAGCCTCCCTATGCTTTCCTATGGGTAAGATTTGGATTGGCTGAGTAGTGATGTCGCAAACCCGAAATTTTCGGTTCGCGAACGGCGAACGCGAACTTCTGCAAATGTTCTCGAACCGGCGAACCGCCCGAAACGCCATTGACTTCAATGGGCAGGCGAATTTTAAAACACACAGGGACTCTTTCTGGCCACAATAGTGATGGAAAAGTTGTTTCAAGGGGACTAACACCTGGACTGTGGCATGCCGGAGGGGGATCCATGGCAAAACTCCCATGGAAAAATTACACAGTTGATACAGAGTCTGGTTTTAATCCATAAAGGGCAGAAATCACCTAACATTCCTAAATCACAATGAATATGGATTGACACCTGACATATGACATATTGACACCTTGACCTATGGATTGACACCGGTCCTCAGAGCCCCTGATGCACACGGACACAGAGCAGAATAGGGACTGGTCCCCCTACATAGGGTCACTTGGCAGATATGGATTGACACCTGTCCTAAGGATCCCTGATACACACTGACACAGAGCAAAATAGGGACTGTTCCCCTACATAGGGTCACTTGGCAGATATGGATTGACACCTGTCCTAAGGTTCCCTGATACACACTGACACAGAGCAGAATAGGGACTGGTCCCCACATAGGGTCACTTGGCAGATATGGATTGACACCTGTCCTCAGAGACCATGATACACACTGACACAGAGCAGAATAGAGACTGTTACCCTACATAGGGTCACTTGGCAGATATGGATTGACACCTGTCCTCAGAGACCATGATACACACATGGAACTAAAATCGACTACACATTTCCGCGAACACCGCTGAGCTCTACCTTCTCCCCTACTGGTTTTACAGCTGCAGAGACTAAGTCCCATTCGGCGATGGGACTTAGTCGTTTTTTCAACCGTTTTTTTCAGCCTTATTTCAGCTGCAGAGACTAAGTCCCATTCGGCGATGGGACTTAGTCGTTTTTTCAGCCTGAAATAGACCGACCTCACAGCCCAAATCTATGGAACTGTTTTGGGCAGGAAAATATGCTTGCAGTCGGTCATAAAGGGACCTACAGCTAACTTTTTAACCCCTGGATGGATTTGGCTGATTTTTTGGTTATGTTTATGTTTTAAGTGTGCTGATTCAAAATATGTAATTATGAAGATGGGATGTGTAGTTTTAAAGTTACAGGGTATGGCTAAAAACTGTATTTTTACTGCCTGTGTTTAATTATGTTAATCTCTTCCCCAGCGTCATTTAAGTTTCAAAGTGGAGAGAATGTTAAAAAAAAATATTTTTGTTCGGAGTGTGAGAAATGCTTTTCAGCAGCTTCTAATCTTAAGCATCATTTGAGGAGCCATACAGGAGAGAAACCTTATTAGTGGTGTGTTTAGTATTGTTCTGATCAGTTTAATACCTTCCGCGTCTCCTATCAGTGGACGTGTATATGGCAGCCATTTTAGGAACAGTACACCTGGGACCCGAGCAAGGTCACCTCGTTCAACAGGCTTGCAGCGTATCCTCCAGGAAGAAGAGCCTGAACCCTTACCGGCTGCACGTGTCTTACCTGTACATGGAAGCTGCTGTGGTTCCTTGATGAGCCAGCTGCCCGTGAGTTAACATGTCCCGTGGAGAAGCACTC